TTTTTTTTTGAGACAGAGTCTCACTATGTTACCCTTGGTAGAGTACTGTGGTGTCACAGCTCACAGCAACCTCAAACTCTTGGGCTTAGGCAATTCTCTTGCCTCAGAGTCCCAAGTAGCAGGGACTACAAGTGCCCTCCATAATACCCGGCTATTTTTTGTTATTGTTGCAGTTGTCATTATTGTTCAACTAGCCTGAGCCGGGTTCGAACCCGGCAGCCTCAATGGCTGGTACTGTAACCACTGTGCTATAGGCGCCAAGTCTTAATTTGCAATTTTCTAATGACATTTTTCTTTTTTTGAGACAAAGTCTCATTCTCTCACCCTCAATAAGAGTTCCAGGGTATCATCATAGCTCATAGCAACCTTAAACTCGAGTTTAAGTGATCCTCATGCCTCAGCCTCCCAAATAGCTGGGACTACAGGTACCTGTCACAACACCCAGCTAGTTTTTCTATTTTTAGTAGAAATGTTGCCTCACTCTTGCTCAGGCTGGTCTGGAACTCTAGAGCTCAAGCAATCCACTCGCCTTGGCCTCCCAGAGTGCTAGGATTATAGGCATTAGCTAAGACGCCCAGTCTCTTTTTTTTTTCCTGTTGCCTGGGCTAGAGTATAGTGGCATCATCATAGCTCACTGCAACCTCAAACTCCTGGGCTCAAGTAATCCTCTGCCTCAGCACCACAAGTAGCCAGGATATAGGTATGTGCCACCACACCCAGCTAATTTGTAAAACTACATTTTGTAGAGACAGGGTCTTGTTCTATTGCCCAAGCTGGTCTTGAATTCTTAGCCTCCTGAGATCCTCCCACCTCAGCCTCCCAGAGTGCTAGGATTACAGGTGTGAGCCATCATGTCCAGCCTCTAATGACTTACGATGTTGAACATCTTTTCACATGTTTACTCGATTATCTGTGTTATCTTTTTTGGTGAAGTGCCTGTCTAGATCTTTGACATATACTTATAATCAGGTTGCTCTTACTTTTTTCTTGTTGACTTTTAAGAGGTCTTTGTATTATATATTTTAGGTAACAGTCTTATCAGGTATGTCTTCTGCCAAGTATTTTCTCTTAGTCTATGACTTACCTTCTAATTTTCTTCATTTTTACAATCTTTTACAAGTATAAAAACATTCTTATTTTGTGAGCCATATGAAAACAGGCCATGGATCAGATCTGACTCATGGGCCATCATTTACTGATACCTGGTACAGTCACATCCTTGGAATCTCATCAGAACATAAATACCAAGTCAGAAGTTGGTCATTAATCAGGTCACTGAACACTTAACATTCAAAAACTATATAGCTGTCTCTCTCTCATTTTACAGAGGAGATCAAAACCAGGGAACTGACTTATTGAAGACATTAAAGGAGGGGATAAAGATAAGACTAGAACTCAGGAAAAATAACTACCCCTCCCAAAAAAGCTATCCCAAGGAAATCTCATTTTTTTGCCTCTCCCAAAATGCAAGCCAAAAATGACATGGCCACCATCAGAACTTACAGATGACAAGAAAGGTTCAAGACAGTATAAACAACTCTCCAGTCAAGCCATGGAAGAACTGTTTCTAGGCAAAATGATTTATGAGATTAGAGCATGGTAAAATCCACAGGTAGCCTTAGCACAGATGGGAGCCATGTATACCAAGCCAAGTCTAAAAATCAAACCAACATGGCAACCCACTGGGAAGGCCTGGTTCTGACTTCCTCAGGGGTGACTGACATTCCTCTGAGAATAATAGAGTCAAGTAACTTAAATAGTTCTCTCAATTCCCTGGGAATAATGAAAAGACAGGAAAAATATACTAAAGGTTCTATCAAACCAAGAACCTTTACAGGAGAGTAGAATTTGATCACAAACATGACTGTTAACATCTTCAAAATCCCAGCTTCTGCCACCACTATAGGCTCGCTGCCCAACAAAGCCACCTATTACAACCTCAAAGAACTGGACAGTACTTTGTCTAGCTGGTTTCCACAGGGAATGGTGTCTAAACTCACTTCAAGAAACATGCAGCTCGGGCAGCGCCTGTGGCTCAAAGGAGCAGGGCGCCGACCCCATATGCCAGAGGTGGCAGGTTCAAACCCAGCCCCGGCCAAAAACTGGGAAAAAAAAAAAGTAATAATAACAGGGAAAACTGAGTGTGGCATAAATGGAAACTTTCTGTATTTGTGATTTCTCTGTAAATCTATAACTGTTCTGACAAATAAAGTTCACTTGGTTTAAAAAAAAAAAAAAAGAAACAAAACACGCAGCTGGGCAGCACCTGTGGCTCAGTGAGTAGGCCCCCAGCCCCATATACTGAGGGTGGCGGGTTTGAACCCGGTCCCAGCCAAACTGCAACAAAAAATAGCCAGGCATTGTGGTGGGCACCTGTAGTCCCAGCTACTAGGGAGGCTGAGGCAAGTTGGAGGTTGCTGTGAGCTGTGTCTCCACAGTACTCTACTGAGGACAACAAAGTGAGACTGTCTCTAAAAAAAAAAAAAAGAAAGAAAAGAAAAGAAAAGAAACAAGTAGCTATCTTCTCTTGAAAGGAAATACCTTCTCATTTCTGGTTTATAAACTTAAATGCAGTCTTTCTTTTTCCCTGTGGGTGGTTTTTTTAAAAAACAAGAGTTTGAAGTTGCCTCGAGCTGTGATGACACCAAGGTACTCTACCCAGGGCGACTGTGTCTCAAAAAATAAATAAATAAAGCTGGTCAAGACTAAAAATCAAGGCTCGGCGCCTGTGGCTCAAGTGGCTGAGGCGCCAGCCACATACACCTAAGGTGGCGGGTTCGAATCCCCAGCCCGGGCCCGCCAAACAACAATGATGGCTGCAACTAAAAA